ATTTACGGGTGTGTATTTGTTTATCGTGTGTACTGTTCCTACTGTACATGAGTGTGTTTGTGTTTATTGTTTGTCCTGTGCCTATTGTATACGATTGTGTCAGTATGCAGTTATGTACGCGTTTTGTATGCAACTGTGCAATATACAACACATTGCTCTACTTCTCTCTCGCACATGTTTGCGATCGATTCCGCATTGATTCACAAATCAGTCTACGCAGTTGTGCAGAGTAACGTGCGTTCCCAGTGGTTGTTAGTTCAAAGTTGATGTCGTAATATGCGTTCATCGGTATCAGTTGCGTGTACTACTTTATGTGCAACGGTAGTTTAGGGATGACACCTTTTCGCAAACAAACTCTTGTTTTTGCATACACGTGCGTGTACAGATGTGCGAGGCAGCGATAGTGAGCCATCAAATGCTGCAGAAGGTAACCATGGCAACCTCTCTGAAGCCGGAGCACCGGCAACTTTGTCATATACGCCCTTGAAATCGTTATCAACTGATAGTGTGACCGTGGATCGAGATGGCGACACAACCTTTTCATTGGTGGCTATTAATAGAACAGAAGTCAGTGGCAAACACGTGTCGAAGTGTGTTCAGTCGGTCGTGGCAGAAAGTGTCCTGCGGCGGAGACGCACAGAAAACGGACGAATAGGATCAGTGCGTGTGTATATCCCAACAGCCCTCGCGCGAATAGGTGAGTGTGTGTTTTAGAATTAGGGTTTGGGGTTTTGGGTTTAGGGTTTTGGTATCTATGTTGGTTGCTAGGTGAGTGTGGGTTTGTACTTATGTGTGTGTGGTCAAGTGTACTGTAATCGTTTGGTGATTGATGACTCTGCTGGTTGTCATGTGATAGTATGTACAGCGACCCATTAGTCCATACGGGCATCGCTGTGATTTGCACTGCAAGTGTTATCGCAAGTCATAAAATAATGGTTGATTGTTTTTTCATAGAGGGTCATCGTAAGTGAATAGATGATGTTGATTGTCTTTATTCGATTATCTTTCTCAATAGATGGCGGTTCATTTGCATGGCCTTAATCCTTGCTAAACGTTCGACCTTTCTCAAACCCAAACCATAACATGTCCGTCGCACACGTAAGTTGACCCCCAATTCAATACTCGCCAAACGCTTCCCACCGTCTCCCACAGCCAACATAGAGACTTCTCTGCAAGTGGCCGTGGATGGCCTGGGCGTGTGGTGTGGTGTGAGCACTGGTGCATCGGCCAGTGCTCCTGCTGTGGGTGTCATCGCAGTCAAGTGTGTGGCGGCTGTGTTGGGTGTGGGTGCCCCACTACGCATAGGGACCGATGATGTAGTCATTGCCATAACCATTGAGTGAACCCCGGTTTAACCGCTTAGGGATATTGAGCTCATAGTAAAACTTGCTTTGTGTATGAAACCATAGGGTATGCGCATGTGTGTGAAACCCTAGGGTTTGTGAATCTGTGTGGACAACCCTATCAAATGTTGACCGCACCAGTGGTTGAAGTGTAGGCAGACGGCTACACATTAGCCTCAGGTGCCTGGTCGCGGTTGTAGTTTGGGCACACGCCAAAAACACGTGTACACACCGACAAACGAGCAGTACCACATTGAAGCTCAGGATATTGGAAGGCAGGATGCTTACGAGCACATTTAAAATGATGAACGGATTCAATTAATCGGAAATGTATGAAACGATTTTCCAGATCGAACCGAAAGTGACCCCCTTAGCGTTTAAATATAATATTAGAACGCTATAGATACAACTTTAGGTGTACATCATTATATAGTTTATATATATATGCATACAGACATATAT